AGTTTGAGACTCCCCAATTTTGACATTATATGGGCCAAATAGGTGACATGAATATTACTTAAGGCTTAAGGATCTTGCTTCCCCAGGGAGGACATTCTGGCACCCAGCAAAACTCTTCCACAAGCTTTTATCTCCAAGTGGAGTATCTCTCATAATTTGGGCTATTTTCAGTTTTTTAGCTGGAAAATGAAGGATGGAAGATGATCAGTGAAGGAGAGCCTATGCTGGACTCCTGAACGTCCCTAAAAAATGTTTTCGGCAGATTGTTGTCTGCACTGGATGCAGAAATAAATCAACACGGGGGGAGTGATCTATGTAGCCATGGCCACTAGGGATGTCAAATATGATCAGTTAATAGGGGCTGCCTGGAAAATATTGAGAATACAGTGATCCATCAGCAAGGTCTGCCTTGGGTATAGAAGGGGTCATTCATGCTTCAATTAAGAGATACCTTGGAATGAATCAGAAAATCTATTTTCCTTACCTGTGTGCCACGCTGCCTTTCTTGATGTCTGATATGACAAGGGGGTCCCCTGGTTTTCTACTAGATGGTGCTGTAACAACGAAGATAGAATAATCACATCTTTATATTTATGATTTACCCAGTACTATATTTCCCCTGTTTAAAATAGCTGTTAATGCAAGTAGAGTTTGTATGCAAAGAGGATCAGCAAATGAGTTAGAAAATATGTGTATTATATCTACAAAAATGTTTGTGTTAAAATATTTATAAACTTAAAAACTAGACTGGGCGCGGTGGCTCACCCCTGTAATCCTAGCACTTTGGAAGGCTGAGGCAGGAGGATCCCTTGAGGCCAGGAGTTTAATTTCCTTTTTATTCTGACTCAGCCATCCCACTTTTAAGAATATTTTCTAAGGAAATAACTAAAAAGAGAAAAAATGTTGAATAAATATATCTATGCATAAAGATATCTATGATAGTTAACTATTTACAATAATAAAACCATTGGAAGCAATCTAACTATCTAAGCAGAGAAGCATGATAAATAAATTACAGGCAGTAAATAAAAATGATAGATATTAAGGGTTTGTAAAATGATGAAATGTTTGTAATATAAAGTTAAATAAAAATGCAACATTCACTATGGTTATAATTATGTAATATAGATATCAACAAAGACTAGAAAATGATTCATTCCATTGCATTAGGGTGGTATTGGGTGATGATTTAGCTTTCATTTGTAAAAATTATTTTAATGTAATTATAAGCATGTTTTTATAATGAAAATATCTTAATTACATCATTTAAAAGCACCATTATTTAAAATTCATACTACACGCTCAATGCATAATTTAAAGACTCTTTAACTACCTAACACACTGCCGCAATGTCACTAGCCAGCTGTTGTATGTAAAACATCAAGATCTAATATCTTTGGTGACAGATGGGCAGTTAGAAAAATCAGTCTTAATTAAGGATGCTATCAATACCTGAATTATCTTCATCTTTGCGAATTTTGAGCTTCACCAGGTCTTCACATTGCTGGAGGATCTGAACTGCATCTTCCATGGAACAGTTGTCCAGCCGGATGTTATCTATTGCAAGTAATTTATCCCCAAGTTCCAGGGTTCCAGTTCTGTTAGTAAATGTATAGCAACACAAGACTAATGAGGAGCACTTAACTAGGCCATTTAAAGAGGCATTGAGCATAATGTAGCATTATGGTACTCTTCAGAGGAAAAGAGGTTCTTTAACTGTTTCTAAATTGTACTTTATTAACAACCCTGCCCCCCTTTTCCAGTCTTATTTGGGATGGCTGCTGTGACATTAAATTGCAGAGTATTAGACACATTTTTTCTTATGCTTCTTTCAGTTAAACCAGGACATGCATATAAGCTACACACAGGGAGCCTAAGCATCCTAGGAAGGGAGGCACTGGGCTGAGGTCTGCAGAGACCCAGGTGTCCTGATGCTTCTCCATATTGTTGCACCATTTTTGATCCAGATACTAGAAGAGGGCTGAGGCATGAGGGAAAGCAAGGTGGGATGGAGTTAGTGGAGGCCTGAGACTTGGAGTCTCTGCCATTCCCACCTGCACCTGGAAATTCACTATGGCTGGAGTAGGGATAAAAGGTATAGATGAATCCCATCCTACCTATTTGGAAAGTGGCCATTGCTTGAATCTCATACTGGCTGTGGATCAGTGCAGGTCTGTTAAAATTTTTCAAGGTCCATAATGAAATTTTTTAAAAATGAGAATGTAGTATGTATACGCATTTGTATGTGCATATATATAAATACACACATATTTGTAAGAACTGTCCTTTACGCATTAGTTCTATGACAGAGAGTGCTGT